ATCTGTAAATAGGGATACTTTTATTTCTTTCTTTCTAATCTGTCTGCATTTTATTTCTTTTTCTTGCCTCATTGCCATGTCAAAAACTTCCAGTACAGCCTTTAAAATTTTAATCAATGTAGATTTCTAGAGCTTTGCTGAAACATACTTGCCTGAATGGGGTCCATCAGGCTTAAAACTCTGAATTTTCAACACTGTTCTTATCATCCAAACTGTTCAGGTTTCATTTCCTATATTTTGGATTAACAGCTATAATCAGTGGGTATAAAGGGCATCCACTCCGCAAAGCCCTTTGAAACAGCCGTGACTTTTAATGAGCTAAATGGAACCTGACTGTAGAAGCAAACTTAGCTTAGGGACATTATTTGTAAGATAGGACCAGGAGCCAGTGATGCTCTAAGAATTAAAGTTCAAGGTTGACCTGTGGATTATTTTGAGCACGTGGTGTGTTCTTCTAACTTTTTCTCCTTTCCTCTAAATTGGGGGCAGCAATAATTTTAAGCTCTGTAAATATGAAATTACCTTCAAAGCTACCTTCTTCTTATGTATTAGAAATCACCATCATTAGGAACTTTTTTGAGAACTGGCTTATGATAAATAAAGAATTCTGTGCATCTTACTATGTTTTTAGTAATAGGCATTTAACAAATTTTGACAAATCAAATTCTCATCATGTCTTATTTTGTTAAACAAAAGTATATAACCATTAATAACACTTTTTTGGGGAAAATGTATATTTCTGATATATAGTGATGTATTTTTATATCATACAACATAATGAACCCACCAAAGAGAGTTTATAGCTATTATAAAAAGACAGAAAACTTGGGTAACTGCTAGGTCCTATCTTGGTTTCAATTATAAGAGGTCTTGGTTCTGTACACATAGGTCCACGTAGGCCTTAAAAGTGTACACAGGTAAGTCTAGTTTCTTGTAAACACCAGGAGCCCCTATATATAATTTGTAGAAAATTTTAAATCTGTAGTAAGAATCAAATTCCAGAGACATTTTTTCTTTTTTCTGAAAGCAGTGACAAATCATCTCAAGGCAAGTTAGTCATTTCTTTTCCAATCGCTTTCACTTATTTTCCTGGTTCAGTTTATACCTGTGCATTTGAATACATTTTTTGTTCTTAAAAGTGTACGTGTTCTAGGAAACACTCCACCCATTGTGTGCAGGGAGCTCTCGAGTCAGAACTTGAGACACTGACTTAGCCTCTCTGAGCCTCAGTTTTCCTGTCTGTGAGCAGCAATGATGACATGCATCTCACTGGCTGTAGGGCTTAAATGAGATGGCTCTTGTGGAGGGCCTGGCCCAGGACTGGGTCCTCAGTTCCTGACTTTCCTTTCTTCTCTGATAACGTTGCCTCTGCTTTCCCAGTGTCACCCTTTCTCCTTTCCTCTTACATGCTGCAGAATGAGGTGCTTCTTATTTTGGGTGCCACTGTTCATGCATGCCAGAGGGGAACCTCCTTTGTGGTCGCAATGAGCTTAGAACCAAGACTGCTTTTGGCACAGCAAGCAGCGAAAATACTCTCACAATACAAAGCAATCACATTTACGTACAGGCATAATTCTTTTAAAGAATGAAGCAGCAACAGTCTCAACGTGTCATTTTGACAACCAACAATGATTTCCAAATAGCTGAGTCTGGATTGAATACAACATAAACAAAGACTATCTATGTGAAGTACTTACTGTGTGAGTCGGTGATCTGCCAATGACCACTTTAATCTCAAATCTAGCGCAGGGTTCCCTGTTCACCCTCTCTTATCTGCTATATGGATGGCAGGGCTGCTATGAACCCTTCAACAAAGAGACAGCGGTCAATAGCTGTCTGGAAGCATCACTTAAAAGGTTTCCATTTCAGTGCAAACACTAAGGAGTTTCTTCTCCATCAGGCCTTCCTGGGAACTGCTTTGAAATATTCCTCCCTTGAAATGTCGGATACACCTCCATACCATTTCTGAAGCCAGATATATTCTATCTTCATCTTCATAAAGAACCACTCATACTGACGAGGCCACTTTCTCATTCCTGGGTGCCTGCAGGAATAAAGGGAGATCCCAATAAAGCTGTTCTTATCAGAGGGATGCACCCTGGGCTGAGGCGTAGGACCTACAGACTCCCGGCATCACCTAGGAAGGCAGGAAATGTAGTCCCTACCCAAGTGGCTGAAGGCTCAAGTCTTGAGCTGGGCTCCTTGGTTTGAATCTCAGTCCAACTGCCGGTGAGCTGTGATGCCCGTGGGCTGTCAGCACTTCCAAGCCCCATCCCTTACCTGTCATGTGGGGTGATGCTCTGGTGCTTGGGGAACAAACCACGAAGCACACGTGAAATACCTGCAGAGAGTGAGTGCTCAGTGGTTGCCGGTATTGTTATTAGGAAACATAAAGAAAGGCTTTATGTATCTCTGTATGAAATGCTAAGAAAATGGTGAATCTGTGCAACAAGTCTGTTCATGGGAAGATTTCCAGCCCTGTTGCAAGCTTGGCACTATTGAGCCAAGCTGAGAGCCAGCCTTGTGCTATTTACTGACTTGCCTTCTCCCCAACTTGTACTCCTAAGCACAATACAATAATGTTTGAGGGCAGGGGCTGTGGCTCACTTTCTTTTAACTTCGTAAAAATAAAAATTTCCTTTGTATCTAAAAATGTTATAAACATGATTCAAAGACCAAGTCCAAACTGGGAAAAACATTTGTAACAAAGGTAGTGCAAGAACAGGTGGATGATCTTTTTAAAAAATAATTTATTTTGAAATAATCATAAATGTATGGGAAAGTGGAAAGTACAGTATAAAGAACTATTTTCTTTTGCTAAGCCATCTGAACGTAAGTTGTGCAGCTGATGCCCCAACACCCCAGATACTCATGCAGCTGAGATAATAACATGATTGTTGCTTTAAGCAACCTAGTTTTGTACTGATAACTGCAACAAAGCTTGGTACCTGGAAGTGGATGCTGGTGTCACAGACCCTAATCCTTGGGGCACCGGCTTAAGGCCCCAGGCAATGAGTGGAAGCTGGAAGGATCTTGAGAAGAGACAGTGAGGGCTTTAAAAAAAGCAAAGATAAGGTTGTGGGAAGCTGGAGGGAGAGGGATCCACCTTACCTAGAGGCTACAAATTTTGCAACACTGTGGCCTGTGTTAGGTGCAAAATAGAAAATGAACCTAATGAACCCAATGAAGACTTTGGCCTCCTCTCACTGCTTATCCTAATAATATGTGAGGAGAGAGAGGAGCTAGGGAATAATAGCTGAGTTTAAAAAATAAAAATAAAAAATTAAACGTGTGTGTAGACACACACATCTACATCTATTTCTTTAAGTACTGAAAACCCTGGGTTTGTGTCAAGATATGCAATCCCATTCATTCTATTCTAGTTTTCTTCCTTGTGCCTTTGTAGTCCTCTTCCATGGCAGGGAGGGGCGTGGCCTCCGCTCACCTTAGGAGATTTACTTATTCCATGATTCCCATGTGTAGGATCCTCCTGTCTCCGTAGGGTTGTGGATGGCTCCTTCGATTCACCACCTGCCTTCATGTTGCTCCTCCACCAACTCACACAAACTTTTTCCAGCCAGTTTTCACCGCCGCCCTGCCCCACGCTCCAGCACTGACCCTCCACTCCTGCCGCCCCTACAAGGACACCCTCTCCACCTTGGAGACCCGATACCCACCGAAAGCCCACCCCTGCATGCACGCGCCCTCTGCACCTTGCACAGGCTCTGACCTCCCGCTGGGCTGTCCTCCCAATCATTTGGACCCCTACAAAGTGGTCCTCAGACTTTAGCACGCCTGTCGGTTTCCTGGAGCATGCTTTTTACAGTTTAGATTATTGAAATGCCAAGCCTTATTTCCTGAGCATTTGATTCAGTAAGTATTTTGGAGTCAGCATCCTACTGATGCAAGGGTGACAAGACCCCCTGAGAAACCGTCACTCCAGCAAGTTGGGCAGGTACTGTGCTTGGCTTAGAGTGGACATTTGAAAATGTTCGTTGTGTTGACTAGGAAGGCACAGTTATTTTCATTGCAAGGCAAGGCACTGTCAGAGGTTGGAAGTATGTAGGCATTGTGCCTGGAACACCACGGTGTGGGGTGCTCTCCAAAGGTGGGGTCAGCCCACCCAAGGCCATTTGCATGGCTTGCTGTGCTGCTAGTCACCCACAGGCAACGTGAGCTTGGCCGTGGTGCCGAAGAAGGGCAGCTCAGACCAGTCACTGTCATCGAATGGCACAGCCCTGACCTCTACTTTTTATTACTGTATATATTGCTGGGCAAACCAATTTGAAAGCATCTACAAACCTTGAAAACATAGCTTGCTTGGCAAATTCCACTTCTTCTGGAGACACTGCTATCATCCGGCCAGTGAGTGTTAACCGGACACATCGGGGATCTTCCGGGTCTACGATGTTTTTTCTGCATGTGAAGAACATTTTTCATATATTAGAACAAAAATAGAACATCAGCTTGAGATACTAATTAATTTGTAATTTAAAAATTAAAAATAGCAGTCACATTACCGGTTATATCATTTAGGATTTTATGTTGTCCATAATTACTTTCAAATGCTTAGGCAGAGGCAGTGTGATAGGTGTTTGTGTAAGTTAGATGTCAATCTGCATCCTCAAGGCAGTTAGACAACATCTGAAGTGCCCTAGTCAAGAGTTCACATGCAACGGTGGGGGAATTACGGAGTTGTTCAAAGGGGGAAAATATTTCATTCAGCTAGATGAATAAATTTTAGAGATCTGCTGTACAACACAGTAGAGTTAACAAAATGGTATTGTGCACTTAAAAATTTATTAAGAGGGTAGATTTCATGTTAAGTGTTTTTACCACCAAAACAAAACAAAGAGACACAAGAAAACTTTGGGAAGTGTTGGATGTGTCTATTACCTTGATCGTGGTGGTGGTATCACAGGTGTTTACATACGTCCAAACTCATCAAAGTGTACACATTCAATAGATGCAGTTCTTTATGTATTAATTATATCTCAATAAAACTTTTTAAAAAAGGATGCACATGCCAAGGCTAGCTTCTGCAAGACCCTAACCAGGAGCCACTATCCGGAATAGTGTTGCTGCCCTGTACAACTCTGGGGGAGCAGCACTCATTTAGAAGGTAGTATGTGTGGCACTCCCAGAGCAGTGCAATGCATCTGCCTGGATCCAGTGGTGGCTGGGGTAAGGGCTTTGAAATATGGCTGTCAGAACCTGTGCTGAAGTTTCCTTAATCAGCATAAGACAGAAGGGATTTGAGGAGCATGAGGTGTGAGTGAGGAGTCTCTTTATTTTATGTAATTCTTAATTCTTTGACTATTACAATGATGAGGTACTACTTCCATTGTGCAAAGAAGAAGATGAAAAAAAAGCACCAAGGAGGCTCTGGGGCTTGGGCTGGATCCTGCCCCAGGACCCTATTGACTTCATTTTTTATGTATTCTCAACCCCTCTGGGATTCACTCATCCATAAGAATTCAGCTTTTGGGGGCCTTCCTGCTCCATGATCTCTAAAACTTTGGCAAACACACCCCCTCGCTGCTGAGGTGCCCTTCCTACAATCACAGAGTGAATGTGGCCCCCTTTTCGTAATCTTGTGTCAGTTTTCCTCAATGGTGAGATAAAGTCACAGTCCAAAATTCACAGGAAGAAGCAAGAGCTAATAAAAACAGCAAATACCCGAAACAGGTACCAAAACTTCTTCTGAATTGATTATAAGATAAAAAATATCTAAAATGAATGAAGTCTCTCAATAGTTCATTGAAAGTGTAACTCCTTGAGGGTCCTCATTTTTTAAGGGGATCTTACTTCTGACTCTCCACCTGGCTCACCCCAAGATACTGTTTCCTTTTTCTTATTGTATTAAAAACCAAACCTCTGATTTCCCCTGACTGGTAAACCTCATTAGAGAAGTTCTAGTTCTGGTTTTTTGTTTCATCTTCATTTTTGACCCCTGGTCCTTTTGTTACTTATGAGCACACCTTTAAAACAACATATGTTTTTTGGATTGATGAATTCTATGGTCATATTTTAAAACTTTAAATAGTGATTTTTTTTCTTTTTTAAACATAATCAGTTTCTACATAGGAGATTTGGGAGAAAATAAAAATTAGTGTGTTTTTAAATAAATTTGGAATTATAGCATGTATGGAATTTTTATCTTACTTTTTCCCACTTAAAAATTTAATTGTGAACATTTTATGTTGGGAAGTATATGTTTTGAAATCTGTTTACTCACAGAATTCACAGCTGCAGCTTAACTTAAATATTTTTCTACCATTCCTGTCTATTGAGTATATTGAATGGGCTAGAAAGTTAAAGCTCTGATATTGAATAATTTATCACAAGGTAAATTGTGAGAGCTGTGCTGAGTATCTGAGAAACTGGAAGAGCACAGTGTCTAGCCTCCGTGCTGCTATTTACCATGTGACCTGTGGCCAGATGGACCAAGCCTCAGTTTCCTCTTCTGTAAAGTGAGAGTATTAATTTCTTGCCTACTTCCTTCACAGGGCCCAAATGTATGTGAAAGTACTTTGAGCATCATAAAAAAGTAATGAATGGTGTTATTTTATATGGAAACATTCTATTCTAACTTACAGGCATTCATAAAATTACATTAAGTTAATGTGAGCAGGTTAAAGATGGAGAAGCTCTTTTTTTCAGCTAGACTCAATATTGTTTCTCTCTTCTTTTAGTCCATTGCCTTGAGCGATTTTCTGGCACTGCATTTCATTATCGAAGGCCAGATGAGAAAACTTTATGATGAATTACTCTCCAGCATGCAAGGAGAGAAGGAAGCGGGAGACATCTTGCATTTCCCTTTTGCCTGGGGCCAGTTATAGTCAGAAGAAAGGGAACAAAATATCCTCTTCTTGTCTGTTTTGTATACTCTGTAAGCCTGAGCATTGCTGTATGTGGATCCCGGTGGGTGAGGAAGGACGTGAAGGCCTACAGTGGGGTGGTCGAGAGTGTGGGCACTCAGTCAGCCCCCTAGGTATGAATCTGGATCATGACTCACCTCTCTGTGCCTGTTTCCTCACCTATAAAGAATAGATAAAAATAGCTCCTGCGTGATAGTGCTGTTATGCAGTGCTGGCAGAGGGAGATGGGTGAGACTTCTTCCCCATCTGACCAGGAGGGCTCCGCTAGCATACCACTCTTGATTCTCACTGCTCCTCAGACTCACACGATTGGTGAACTGGGAAGAAGATACTGGACACGTGTAGTTTAGTTCTACCTCCCTGCAGGAAGCGCATATTTTATTCTCCTTCTCTATGCCATACATTAAAAAGAGGCCTGCTTGGGTAGGCCTTGGTGTGTAAGTCTCCCTAATTCTGGAGTTTCCTTGACCATGTTCTCCATGTTGGCTTTACCAGTGTTGAAGGTAATTTGCTGTTCCCTCTACCTTACTCTTTTATTTTTCAGTTGGTTTAGATCAGACAAACAAACAATGGCCTGTTGGCCAAATGTGGCCTGACACCTATTTCTTTTTGCCCAAGAGGTAAGAATAGATTTTACATTTTAAAATGGTTGAAAGAAATCAAAAGAAGAATATTTTATGACACATGGGAACTACATGAACTTAAAATTTCAGTGAGCTAAAATAAAGTTTTCTTGGCATACAGCCACATGCATTTGTTTCCATACTGTCTATGGCTGCTTTTGTGCTGTAACAGCAGAGTTGAATTGTGATAGAGACCATATGGCTTACAACACCTAAAAATTTACTGTCTGCCCTTTACAGAAAAAAAATTGCCAACACTTGGTTTAGACCATCAGAATGGAAGAGAAATGCTGTTTGTTGGGCCCCTACATGAGGATTAGATGCATGAATTCACATAAAGTGGTTAGAACAGTGCCTGGCATGCAGCAAGCCCTCATACAGTGCTGCTGCTGCAGCCATATTGTTATGGGGTTGGGCGGCCTGAAAGGGTAGAGCAGCTGGAGAGCTCTGGGATTTTATAGCCTAAATTGATGGTCAGTCATGCAATATCATGAATATTGTTACAGACGAAATTGTGTGCCCTCAAAATTCACTGGTCGAAGACCTAACTCCCAATGTGACTGTATTTGGAGATAAGGCCTTTACAGAGGTAGTTAAGGTTAAGTGAGGTCATATGGGTGGGGTCCTGATCTGATAGGACTAGTGTCCTTATAAAGAGAGGAAGAGATACCAGGGATGCATATGCACTAAGGAAAATTGTGTGAGGACATGGCAGGAAGGAGGCCATCTGCAAGCCAAGGAGAGAGGCCTCAGGAGCAACCAGAACTGCTGCCACCTTGATCATAGACTTCCGGCCTCCAGAAGGGTCAAAAAATAAATCTCTGTTGTTTAAGCTCCTAAGGTTGTGGTTTTTGTTATGGCAGCCTGAGCAGACTAACACACAGGTGGTGAGAACTGGATGATGGGGAGCATCAAAAGCCTCCCCGCTCTGCCTCTCTTGCAGAGTTTGTTGCAGATGTAGGTTGTTATGGTGGTGGAAGCAATTAAATTAGGAGAATAGCAAATAATGTATAATGTAAGCAGGTGTTAATCTATACAATTTTGAAAGTACTTTTTTTCAGCCTTAAAATGGAGATTGGCTACATTTGTGGCAGTTTCCTCATCCAAGGAGGCCAGGGAGATGCAAGAAAGCATGTTCAAGCATCGACTTGCTTAATTTTCGCCATATCCATTGTTTAATTTTCGCCATATCCACCATCTCCTAGTGTGCAGTAAAAGGTTAACTCAGCAGGCCTAGGTTGCTGCGACCCTGCACATTCCAAAGAAAGGCCTGTCTTCAGGTGAACTGGCCCTCCACTGGCTCCCGGAAGACAACCTCTAAGACCCTGGAATACAAACATACCTCAGAGATATTGTGGGTTTAGTTCCAGAACTAAAATGAATATCTCAATAAAACAAGCCACAATGATTTTTTTCGGTTTCTTAGTGCACATAAAAGTTACGTTTACACTGTACTATAGTCTGTAAAGTGTGCAATGGCCCCAGGATTTTCAGAATGTTAAGCGAACTTTAGTTTCAACGTAAAGTCACCAGCTACGTTAGCTCCTGACAAAAGAGTCAGCCTGTTCTTTGAAGTTTTGAAGCCAGGCATTAACTTTTGTTCTCTAGCTGTGAAAATCCTGTAGGGCATCTTCTTCCAATATAAGGCTGTTGCCTCTACATCGAAAATATGTTGTTTAGCATAGCTTTTCTTAATAATCTTTCTTGTTATTAACCTTTCTTTAATAATCTTAGCTAGATCTTCTGGATAACTTTCTGCAACTTCTACATCAGCACTTGCTGCTTCACCTTACACTCTTATGTTATTGAGACAGCTTCTTTCCTTAAACCTCATGAACCAACCTCAGCTAGCTTCCACCTTTTCTTCTGTAGCTTCCTCACCTCTCTCAGCCTTCACAGAATTGAAGAGAGT